AAGTAAATATCAAATGCCGGAAGGTCCTTGGCCTTGGCTCGGGCCTTGGCCGCTAGCTTCGCTCCAGCATTTGCGACTTCACCGGGCTGCCTCGTCTCCTCCACTCTATGTCGCTATCGCACAAGGGCATACTTTTATGCGAGAATTTACAGCAAAAAAGCCGGAGACCAGATCAGATGGAGCACTCTGATCGAACACCGGCCTTTAACACTTACCGTAAGAACCCCTCAGTGTGGACATACTCTTTGGGGAACAATATTTGTCCTACAAATTCTCCATCAAACTCTCCATGCAAGGCGTCCGTTTTTGCAGGTAAACCCCAATTTGTTTGGTTGATCAAATCCAAGTCTTCTTCTTTTTAACAGTTGAAATATGTTGAAATCTGGAGATTCCCTGGTTAAGCCATGTTAAGCCCCTTTTTTATGCGTTCATCAAAACCCCAGAAAATTGCCCCGAGAAACTGATGATCAACGGCCAGCGTGACTGGAGCCCCGTGTAACCCGTGCGGAAGAGCATGGCGCCCAGCACCGGCAGAGCTTCGAAGGTGGTGAAGACCACACTGAGACGTTTGGACAACGAGTACCTGGGCGCGGTGACACGGTGACGCTGGGAAAAACGAAGCTCTTCCCGGAAGCTTACAATGGCGCATGTATATCGTGTGTGTGTGTGTGTTGTGTATACAAAGGAACTCTTTAGTAACATCACTGGGATATGCATTCTTCACGGCAGGGCTACCTTAGATGATCCGATGTTCTCCCCTGATCACCCGGCCCTTTCCTTTGGAAACCTCTGGTTTGCTTGTGTTTCTTCTGTTTTCTTTTCTTCCCTATCAGTACAAGTGTGTTTTCTGTAACAAGTGTTCCACATTTCCAGCAAGGTATGGGCCAAAAGCAGCAGCGTCAGCCTTTCCAACGCATGGGTTGCATCAAAATATTGCTTTGAATCGTGGGAGGAAACCCAAAGAAACAACAAGAACCACAAAGGAATTAGCTAAAACCAGTTCTTCTTAGATTATCTCATTTTTTGGTATCCTTTGTTTTCCTTTGGTTTCCTTCGGAGTCCTTTGGTTTGGGGCTGGATGGATTTTATGGCTTTCCTTTCCTTTGGTTTCCTTTGGTTGCCAAGGGAAGAACAAAGGAACAGAAAATCGAAGGAAAAAACAAACCAACCAAGGAAAGTCTAAGAAGGCTACAAGCCCATAGAACGCATCAATCATGCCTGTTACGAGTAGAAGGCTGCTAGATATGTGTTGATTATATAACTGATGGATATGTGTGATAAATGTATTGATAATCTAGTTTGTTTCTTTTTCTAGGTGGTCTTATGTCTAGTAAATGGTGATATATTTTTCGTTTTTTGGGGATGTGGATTGATGTGGATGATCATGGATGATCATGGATGATCAATCGGCTATTGAGGATGATCGTTTTTGGCATCAAAAAACTGAAGATGTTACCTGGTTGGTGGTTTCAACCTACCCCTCTGAAAAATATGAAAGTCAATGGGAAGGATGACATATTGTGATATACTATGGAAAATTAAAAATTCATGTTCCAAACCACCAACCAGTTACAGTAGTGTGATGACTTGATGACTTCTCGAACATTTCAATGGGGTTCTTGTGGGACCCAAACTTGATGCATTGGAAGACTTCCATGCGATAGCCCGATAGCCTGATGATCAACAAACGTGCGGGACATGGGTCGTGGTGTCACCTGAACAGCATAGCAAACCATTCAGAAAAAATAACTCCATCCATAGATGGGCGTAAGCCGCTGCGAAGTCACTGGGTAGCGGCTCCCTCCAGTTGTCAAACTTTCCGTATGCAGTAAGCTCATCATAAAACGAAGGCCTAAGTCCTAAGGCTTTGGGAACTGAACTGCTGCTTTTAAGCCATCAAACAATGAAAATCGATTCACATCACTCATTTCTAGTGGATGGGAAATCAAAACATGATTGAAACCAAACGAGCCAATCGTGCCACGATGTGCCAATCTTTCACCCTTAGTCCAACCTCTGGAACAGCCGGGTGGCAACTCAATCTCAGCCGCCCTCTCTTGCCAGTTCCAGGTGTCAAAATTTTGATACCTGGCGAATGGACTTGGTCCCCATCGGGGCTTCTTGTGATATGATGGAGAGATTGCCATCTATATTGGGATAGATTAGCCACGATTAGCCACTAATAGGGAACCACTCGTTCTTGATCCATGTGATTGGTTGGGATTGGTTGTTGCTGTTCCATGCTAACAATCCATCAGATTTTGGCAGATCCATCAGGCATTTTGTCAGAAAAGCCCAGCAAGGTGACCTGATTTCCGATGCTTCGAGATTTTTGGCGATGGGTACCCAGCAAAATCCAGAGGTCCCATGACGGATCCGGCTGGTGCTGGTTTTTCTATGCTAACATGACTGGGGTATATTGATGGGATCCATGTTACCATATATAGCAGCACCATGGATCCGTCATGGGGGTTGATGATCATGTTCCCTCATTTGCATTGCCATAAATGGGGCCCCATTTTGGACACGCCCATCTGTTGCCATGGCCCAGGGCGGCCACGACCTCGTGGTGACTGCAATCGTTCGACCATCTGATCTGGTGTTGAACTTGCCTGGTGCCATCACCGATGAATACATGACATCTGCCGATTTTATGAAACACCCCATAAACCCATAATGTCAACCCCGGATTAATGCACCATGGTTTTTTAATTAGGGGGGTATTCCCACAAGAGTCATTTCATCTGATACTTAAATGGCATCCCCCCAATTAAACAACCGTCTGGGGTTTATTAATCCAGGGTTGACATTATGCTCCATGTATAGTATATTTACCTACAAAACTGGGTCATTTATGGGGTAAATGTTGGTAAATATTCCAGCAACACGGAGCATATGGGAAATGGTTCCTGTTATGTGGAAATTCCCTATGACAAAACCATGGTTTCTAAGGAATACATGACATCATAATCCCTCTGACATGACATCTAGGAAGCCTGCTGATGTCATAAGAATACATTTGCGATGGAACTTCCAAGTGAAAAAAAAACAAAAAACAACAATTTCTTCGTTCCGAAATTCGTTCCGATGACCGGTGGCCGTGTAGGAAAGTATGTTGATATCATGGGATAGTGTAGGAAACATGATGAGCCAGGAGATGTTGGGGCTGAAGCTCAGTTTGATGAGATCAACTTTGGAAAATTGGAATCTCCGTGGTCACTTCTGGGCGCAAGTGTAGTCGGTACCAATTTGATATCCTAAAATGGTAAAAATAGCTTTGGGCCGGGAGCTGGTTAATCCCATCTATCATCATAGAAACCTGTTGTTTTTCAGGGGTAAACCGGTAAACCTGAAGAAACCCCTCATTTTTCACCAACCAACCAATGGGAACTTGGGACACCTATGGTTGGTACTGAGGCCTGGTGACGTGACTATGTCCTGTGTTAAAACTACGTTTCTAGAATCCTAATTCTTGTCTATTCGTTTAAGCACTCGTATCGTATATCTCTCTCCATCGCTATCTTCGGGGGTCTATATTTTGATAAACATGTGGATTTTCCAACCAACCTTTGCAAGTACGATAATCATTCGACAACCTGAAAACATCAGGAAGATATGGGATTGTTGCCCTTATGATTCCCATCCTTCTGGATAAATCAGAACAATTCACCTGACAAGTTCGGCCAATTGGGGGCAATTCCCCTCACTAAGTTACATCCAGTGACATCGCAGCGGGGTCAGGACCATTCATTGATCCAGATTTGAAAAATGATATTCCAATATCCCCATGACCAATCCATCTAATGCACGGTTAATATCATGCGATGGTATTAACCATGTCTGGTGTTTAATGATTATATCATATCACTATATAACCATGGTATACCATGATCGAAGGAAGTTTAGAAGTGAAACTTCCGACAATATGGACAGTTGAAAAGCAGAGGTGAAAAGAGTCAGAAGAGAAAAGATCAGAAGAAAGAAGATGCAGATGCGCAAAAAGGTAGGAAAGTCGCGAAACACTGTGTTTTTCCAATGATTTGGGGCTCCGGAGGGTCGAAAAGTAGGCTCGCTAAAGCGGCGGGTGCGGAGCCAGCTGGCCAGATGAGAGATGAAAATTGCGCGCCGTTGTGGCGCGAAGCACATTTCCAAGTCAAAATGTACAAAACACCCCAGCGTCGGACCACTTTTGGAAGTTGAGATGTCGAAAAAGTGCTCGAAAAAGTGCACGCCGTTGGCGCGAAGCACATTTCGAAGTCAAAAGTGTAAAAAACTGACGGTCTCGGACCACTTTTGGAGGTTCAGATGTC